ACTTCTCGCTCGGGTGGCTTAACGTCTAATGCGGGCAATACGACAACCAGTCCCCGTCGATTGCACGTCTCAAACATTCCGTTCCGGTTTCGTGAAGCCGATCTGCGTGCACTTCTTGGAGTGAGTCTTGCCATATATAGAGAAGCCATTATTTTTTCACAGTCGAAACAGGGGGTAATAGATTGTATGCGTTTTGATCTAAGTCCATGAACACTATGAAATGGCAGTTTCAGCAGTGCCTTCTTCCTACTCACATTGAGGTAAAAAGAGCTAAATGAAATTCAATTGGTAAACTGTTTGCAAGTTCCATGTTAGCTGTTCGGCTATGCTGAGGACGGGACCATCTACTTACACGTCATATAGCATGACAGCTGCAGCGATCCCGTTGTTAACAATAAAACCATTTGTCTTTCACATCCGGGTCAAACTAGATCCGTCACCTCATCTGAGTGAGCTAAGGGAATAAATAAATAGATCCGTCCACAATTGTGTTTACATAACAAAAACCGAGCCGAAGTTTTGAATGCATCGATGTGGTTTACAGACAAAACATACCAGGACATGTGATTTCTTTTGTTCTTGTGTCCATCTCCTGTAACAAGAGAGAAAACACTACCGAACTGGCTGCATTCTAACCACGGCGGGTTTTTGATTATATGACATATCTGTACACACCACATTCATTCTCTACAAACAAGTCTAACCACTTCGGTTTTTATTGTAAGAAGGATGACGAGCAGTTTTTTGTAAGTCACTTTTTTCTTTCATTTTAATTCCTTTTGTTGAGTATACAAAGATACAATTTTCAGGAAGGGAGAAGTCGCCAATCTAAGGGCTGCCATTCTACACATATGCAATAGATAAAGACAGACAAAGACAGACCGTGGTGTTGGGATTCGAACACACGTCCTCCGAGGTGATAGTTGGTGACGCTTACACCGCCGCACGCGTCTGGGCTATGCGATACGGTTCATGGTGATGCCTACTTGAGGTCTGCCATGTGACAAAGACAAAACGAAAGGCGGTGGCCATCGACAGTGTAGCTCCCTATCCCACAGGTGTGAGGGTTCTTCAGTCCCGACAGGCACAAAAGCACACTTTGCACTGCTAATGAGCCCCAACAAGGTGGAAACTGTTGTCCGGTACTCTTTTTATTTGTAAACACCCAGGTCTACTGTATATGAAACACGTTTCACTTGATCGAGGTGACTCAGTCTATGGAACATCTTTACATCCGTCAGGGCATAAAATTTCATCGTCTCCATTGGTACCACAAGTCACTGTAGCCATATGATACTAAACAAATCGGGATTCTGGGAGATAATAATGTATAAAGATAGAACGACTGGAATTTGGTATCTTTGGGAAACCCTTCGATTGCATTTTAAGGATCAATAGCGGAGTTTTTGAGTGAATAAAATGAGAGAAAAGTGGACGATTAGGAGAGATGCTATTGTGCAATCAGGATTTGTTGAAAAAAAAACATTTGATAAGAATTTATTTCTAGGAAATTATATTGTTTAAACTTGTCTTGAGACTAGCGCTGAAAATCTTCGGTGTTATTCGAAGACGATATGATGTTACATGTTTATTGTTTACCATACTTCATGTCCGTCTGACTTTAGACAGAAACCAAGGGACAATAATCTTAAAAGGAAAGAAGAACGTCCACGATACGTTTTAATCGTAGTTGAATCACTAATTGTGAATAGCAAATCGTTACTCCCTCTGATACCTGTTTGCAGTAAAAAAATAAATCATTCAATGATGATGATGATCAGTTTTGAATATAACGTTCCTCTGAAAAGCAAATGGAGTCAAACAGCTTTATTGGGCAATTACTCGATCCAAGTTAAAGATCTGACGATAATGGTGACATCTTTGAAGGGTTGTAAGGGCAAGTTACATCTTCCACAAGATTCGTTTCTAGTCAAGACTAAATGGAAAGAAATATCATTGATGGTGGGAGACGACGTTTGAGAAACTGAAAACACTGTTTTCCCGTCACAAATTTGAACAGAGAAGTCAGAAACATGGGTTTGCACAATGTATCCATGGTCATTTCGCTGCATCTGTACACGTGCATACTGCAATCAAAGTCATTTTTTTTATAATCAGTGAGATAACAGATTTGAGACAAAGACAAGATCGCTAATCACAACGGACAACACAACACAAAAACACAAAATGGGACGAGAGAGGGCAGGAGGTCAATCACCAAGGCAAAGCTAATGTGACTATAAAAAATCACTTTGACTGCAGTAAGCACGTGTACAAATGCAGCGAAATGATCATGGATACATTGTGCAAACCCATGTTTCTGACTTCTCCGTTCACAGACGTATTATGCCGCCGGTGTAATTTAACACTGCGTCAGAAGTAAATATTTGATTTCCTCCAATCTCAGTTCCATTATCAATGTGTTGCGCACTTTTTCGGATTATCAAATGCTTCAAAAAAGTCAAATTTTTTTGGATGAAGTTCACCCCTAACAATGGGATTATAGTTTAACTTTTTCTCTGCTGCTGTTCAGGACCCCTTTAATTATACCCGAGAATAAGGTAATTCAAAATAATTAATTTATTATAGTCGAGTGTGCATATTCCATGAAGGTAGATACAAAGGGAAAAAATAATCGATTCTTTTCTTTTTTCGATCTCAAATGACTGATTGCCACAGCGGAAACGGACGCTAAGGGTAACCTTGTTGCAAACTGCCAGTCGTCCAGTTTGACAAAGAAAATTTCACGTGGGAAGGACATTAAAAGTCCGATGTTTTTTGTTAACTGATCATTGTTAAATTGTTTCGTCTAACCAATTCGTTCTATTGAATAAGCTTCTTCTCTCTCGCTCTCATATTTGAGTGTAACCACCCGAAGATGCTTCACATGAGTGTAGGCACGTAGGGAACATGGTTTTTGGATTGTGATTCTTCTTTCATGTATTCAGTACTCATTTCTCCATTATAATAATGATTCCAGCCCTATGGAACAATTCTGGACGTTGAGATCATTTTCAATGAGAGGGGATCAAAAGTGAGTTTTTCAATTACCACGACATCAGTAATTATGACCTAAAATCCTCACAACGCCTACATCAGGGCACATTTACGAGCCTTAAAGTTAAATGCGAGAAAGTATTCACTTTGATGTGATAATATTAATGATACTGTGGAGTCTGCGCACATTTACTTGGTATTTTCCTTCAGCTCATCTAGAACAGGAAAGCCAACTTTAGGGATAATCTTTCTCGATCGATGACTTACCAAAATTTTAAATCGCAGAGCCTCCGGCAAATGGTTAATTCATCATCCGACCGCGTCGCATAAGTCATGCTGGATAGATAAACTGTAATCCGTTCTTTACTTATAATGCTGTGAACTGGGCGTATTTATACTGAGCCAGATTCTAAGAGGTGTTCAGTTGACGGATTAACGCCGGGGCTTAATGGAGTCGAGTCGGCGTCCAAATCCAGTCCACTGAGCTCACTTGTTGATGCCGTCTGACTAGAAAATGCCCTCTGTCCTGGTTTGAATATCAATGAATTATTATTATTAATCAATCTTCAGGACTATCTTTGTTGCCGAGCGAAGTAGTAATTTTTTTATGGTGAATACAGATTTAGTGACTGAAGTAGATCCTCAGTACCGTTTCACTTAATTGATGGTAAAATAATGATATGAATAATGATATCTGATGTAAAACATATTTTGCCAATTCCCAAAATATAGCAGTGAAAACTCGACGGAAATCGAAGCTAAGGCAATAGTGACAGTGGCATGAAGCGAGTAAGATGTATTCGGATAGAACATCACTGGGGTCTGACTGTGCAAAGACGCGTGTTACTGTATTGTCTGGCACACTTACACAGTCATAATGTGGTGGCAAGTGAGGGCTACAGCAATAAATCTGAAACCAGACAGGCAAACGAAGCATACAGAATAATCACTCTAGAAAACCATTAAGGCAATCCGAAATGACCAAGGCGACAGCTACGGTATGGCGCNATAATGCGCAGTTGACCATAAGGACGACGTTAGGATAACCCAATTATAGGGCTATCTATCGATCGACGTCGCGTTGTGAGCGATCAAGCCAGCCGAACTGGTGAGATTACGTATGCCACTCTCCTCTATCTGGCCGGAAGGGGTTGAGGGAAGCTACAAAATGAGTAATACGTCATCCTAGGGCGTTATTAAAAATTAACCGTCTATATTTGAACATGTGTCTAAAACCTTAACTGAGTCTATAAACGTGGAACCACTCATTCCGGCTTTATCAACACAATCACTGTTTTTCCGAGGCTGTGCCGTTTACAGTCATCAAACGTTTTCTTTAGCTTGACCACATATTCCTAACTCACAGGTGCGCTGTATAAAACAATGCAGCCAGGGCTTCGAAACCAGGAGTATGAAGTAGTAAACGAAACAAATACATATAAGTGTGCGTCAACCTAATACAAAACCCAATGAATGGCAGTCCTTTAGGGACATTGCCCTGGTGTTACTTATGTGGGATTTCTTATGAGACAACTCATGAACAGTACGTAGTATCGTGCCCATTCACTTTCTCTGCCCCGGTTTGCACATTGTCTTTCTAAATTTACCCCCCTCCCATTTATTTTCATTGACAAGAATTGTGCGAAATCAGTATTTGTTTACCATCTTTGATTAACCAAATTTTGAAAAGCAACAGTGCAGCCGTCGAACTTATGATTTAGGTAAATTTAGATGCAATATATTGAAATTGTCAATGGGTTTTAGAAAGAACTATCGCCACCTAATCCCTGATCAAAATAGTAGCATAAAGCAACGTTATTCAAAAGTATTTTTCATTTCTCGTCAGATGAAACTTACTCTCCACAACACGTGACTTGAATTTTCTATTTTTCGAAAAACTGTTTTCTGTTTGACTTCTGTCGCCATTGCTGGACTCAAACCAATGAAACATATTAGAGCAACCCTAGATACTCGTAAGCCACAAAACATCTGCCTTGCGTTTTGCATCACAATCAGTACAGGGAGGAATTTTAACTGCTTCATTCTCCCACGGAAAGAATGTTCAAAAATTATTGGTGTCCAAATCCTTAGTACAATGATGAAACTTACTGCGTGGTAGTCAAATAGTCTGATTACTGTTCATGCCGATTCTAGTTGAGATTCATCACATTTAATCACTCTGATCGCCACCAAATGCAGTCACTCTGTCAAGATTGCGGGCCAAATATTCAGTAAGAGTGATCCATTTGGAATTGTTCGACTTTTCCTGTACAACAGGTTCATTGTTAAAACCTACGTAATCGTAGTGGCTTGTATCAATGAAATATCCGATTAACACGTCCTATCGAAGAAACATAAAAGATAGGCCTTTCTGAAACATTAAAAAATGACTCATGTTTTTGGTTAATCAACAGTAAGATCTTAAATCTATTCACATGTTCCACAACTCAAACAAAGAATCCTGTGTAAGTGAACCAACTTAAAACAGGTTCGAACCAGACACCTGGTTGCTCGAGGGGAAGAATGATTTTAGATTTTCTCGGGAACAGTTTCATCATTTCTTACCAGCAATGCTTTTTTAGTCGATCTGATCAAGTGTACCCCATTAAATACAAGGGAATCGTTAATGCTTACTCACTGGGTGGTTCTTGTTGCAGTGATTTTGCACCTGACCAATTGCTCCAAATATTTGTTAAGTATTTTCACCTTACTACAAAATCGGCTGTAAATATATTTATGAATTGCTTGGGGGAACCAAAAATGAACACATCCTTTCCATATCTATGATTACTGGGTTGTTCATATCACCCGATTATGCGGGTAGAGATAGAAATCACGTGATCACATTTGTTGCATTGGCAAATCTTGGACCCGCCCATTGAGCAGAATGGACGTGATGGCGGATGCAATCCTGTTTATTCATACGGTTACAGTCATGGTTATAAAGAATGATAGCTCATGACGTCATTTCCTATCAACACTACCCAACTTCCGACCTCGTGAGATTCATTCTGTTACAGTTTATACTTTTACCCCCAAATTCTTCCTCGATAAATGGTGGATCATTTGGATATTCTATCAAAACAAATTAAAGGATAATTATCACCACGAGTGGAAGAAAAAACCTAAGCAGATATCGTGTCTTCATATTATATCTGGTGCTTCCCTTCCCCTTTGAATCTAATTCAACTAGGGCTTTGGATTTGTCACATTTGCAAACGCTGCTGACGCCGAACGAGCTCGGGAAAGCCTGCATGGTCAGATGGTAATGGGTCGAAAAATCGAAGTAAGTTGAATCGATCGGTAGATGACTGTTCCATTCTTTATGCACCAGTATGAAAAGTCAGTTTTAATCCCTTAGTATTTTGAGTGATTAAGCAATTTTCTCTTCACATGCACCCTGGGCGCTGCATTTTCTCTCTCTCTCTCTTACTCAATCGGATGCGTCGTTCACTCGTAACATCTGTATGACCTTATTTCGCTTGTTCCAGATGCCTTTGTCACCCCTCCCCCTTTCCAATTTCTAGGAGACAGAATAGGGATCTTGCTTGACTATGTATTTCATTTTAGCTTATTTCCGATGAACAAAATTGTCTCATCCTGTTTGCGTTATTCGGTTTCAAAAGCGGTTTCGTTCGCGAATTTTTCAAGCTGTACAAAACATACTTCCGCAATTCTGACCGAGCTACTTACGAGTAGACTCGTGCCGAATAACAAGTTTTACCGAGGTTCTAGATTTTAAAGGATAGTGACAGTGTTCTTCTTAAACATCTGCTGTGAACGTTTGATTTTATTTACCAGTGCAGCTCGTAATGAAACACCGTTTTTTCTACCAATAATGCCCTCTTATCATTTTTCAGGAGCATCAATCCAGGCAGTCCCTAGCGTTTGGCTAGAGTAGAAATCCATTTCTGCTCAAATGCCAATCTTCTGAGGTGTGAGTAGTTTGTGCCTATCTATCGGAATGCGGTCGGATATGAGATGCGATTGCTTGTATGTTCTGGTCCTCTGCAAACCGCACACATAAACACAGAGAGAAAGAGAGATCTATCTGATTGCATGCTGAATTGCATTGCATTGCTGAAGAATTAGATTCTTCCATTATTTTCCCCAAAATTGTCGGACTGTCTCGT